TTGACCCCTCGGTGGGGATCACGTCGTCAGTTTTGATCCTTCACTGGGAATCACATCGTCGCTTTCGATCTCTCATTGGAGATCACGTCAGGGTCACCATATGTTGCCGTTATGTCATGACAGTCAAAAAAACACACAAGGCGGCTGATTCAGGGCAACATAAGAAAAGCTTCTCCTTTATTATTCCCAGCTCCTTTTTATATCATTCTCTAAAAGCAGCAAGGAAGCAGCAAGCAAGTAGCAAGCAAGCAAGCAACATCCTAATTGGCCACTCATCATTACTGATACACTTGGCAGCAATCGTGAGACATCTGGAGATGCCCAAGGCCAAGGTTGTGGTTCTCATACACCAAACTTATGGACTCACAGTCTACCCTCTCTCCCCAATTAGCTTGTGTGTAAAACTTACTTATCTTCAAGGCCACACTCGAAAGTTTGCCAAGTCAATCTCCTTTTCCAGGGAGCTAACAGACCCGCTGTTAACCCCTAGAGAAAATGACTTGAGATAAGGCAGTTTTCTAAAGAAGCAAAGAGGAAAATAATAAGGTTTTATCTCTCCTTTCCATTAGCAACTGGTGTTCAGCTATTTCCTGGGAAGCAGGGTTTCAGCACACATAGTGGTCGCTCCAGAAGGTAAACGTAAATAATGAATGCCTCCCCTTCCTCCTCCTTTCCTTAGCTTTTATATCTGAGCTGACATCATATGGTCTGGAATATCCCTTTGGTTAGTTTGGGTCAGCTACTTGTGTCCCCTCCCAGGATCTTCCCTGCCCCCCCCCCCCCCTCGCTCCTCTATGGGAGGGCAGGGAAATGGAGGGGAGGAATGTTAAGCAACAGTGCTAATGCTGTGCCAGTGCTGCCCAGCAGTAGCCAAAACACTGGTGTGTTATCAATACCTTTCTAGCTACCAATGCAAAGCACAGCAGGGCAAGGACTCATATCCAGGACACTGTGGAGAGACTGCTGAGTTTTGTTTGGCCCTTAGGCTATGATCCCCTTCTGCTCATCCATGTGGGAACAATGCTTCCAGGGGAGATCTGGAGCATATAAAGTGTGACTACATGGCTCTGGGGAAAATGGTCAAGGGCATGGGGACCCATCTGGAAACAGTGTTGATAATACAGGGATGTATTAGTTTTTGCAGAGCGGTGCTTACACAGAGTCAAGGTCTTTTCTTCTTCTCACACTACCCCACCAGCGAGTAGGCTGGGGGTGCACAAGAAGTTGGGATAGGACACAACTGGGACTATGATTTGTGCTTCATCTGTCAAGATGTTCAGGACAAGAGAAACAGTATGTTAACTTATTGGGCACCAACACTGGCTTGGTTTGAGTCATCGTTGCACTTTGCTTCCTTTCAAAACTCACTCTTCATCAGTTTATGTCATTCCTGCTACTTTACTTCCTACAACATACAACTAGCATTACAGATTATTTTTTCCCTGAGGTTAAATCTCCTTGAGGCATGCAGTGAAGGAATCCAAGTGGAGAGAAACTTTGCCCAGGCAGAACTCATTCATAACTTTATTACGCCATATATATATACAGAGTCGAGTCCAAGCTATCAAGCCAGGTCAGATGTTTCTTTATCAGCACACATATCACACATGCCCTTGTGACTACTTTCAAAGAACAATCATGCCTCAAGAGGCTTTCCAGCTTGACCTTGTTTTTCTTTTCACACGCACTAATCTTAGCTCTGGCTAGCTCAGGACCTCAATATTTTTGTTTAAGTATTTTATTCTTCTTTCATCGTCCAGGTGGCTGGTGTTATCTGTCTAGCTGGTCCTACAGAGGCACATATTGGGTGTCCCCATCATTCTGCATTACCCACCAAGTACACACAGGTCCTTCAGCAAAGTCTTTTCCCATAGGAGGAACAATCCACATCACCTTCCCCTGCCACTTTCCTATGTGTGGCACAGGGACCTTATCTCTTCCCACAGTATGTGGAGGTTTTGTTTGGGCAGGACCAGGGTGGTTAGCAGATCCTCTGGTAATACCAACCAAGTGGCTTCTTCTGAATTTGCATCCCGGTGCTTCCATGCCCCATTGCCCAACACTCTTAGCAGTCTTTTACAGTCCATTATATCTCTCAATCTTGTGAGCGATAGGGGGATGTGATATACCCACTCAATGCCATGTTTCTTTGCCCAGGAGTTTATAAGGTTACTTTGGAAATGAGTTCCAATGTCTGACAACTCTTTTTGAGGTACCATGTCACCACAAAATTTGCCTTTCAAGACTTGTCCTAGGGTTTACATTGAGCTCCTGATGCAGCTTGCAATCAGATGAGAGTACATCAGCCCTCCTGACCTGGAAGACATCTAGGATGGATAGAACCCACTGTCATGGACTAAATGAACTCAACAGACATCTTGGAGGGACAGTCACTGACTATAGAAATGATACCTGTGCTTTTGTATATTTATATATATATGCATGCAGTTGGAAGGTGTAGAATCTGGGCATGAGGTAGATGGTATAGAATAAGGGGTGGATAATGTCCTAATTTTGGCCAGGACAGGGTTAATTTTTTATAGTAGTGGGGAGGGGGGCATGACTAAGGCCCGGATATTATTCTATATCACCTCATGTCATTGCTGGGGAGGGAGTAAGGGACTCTCACTTCCGAGGAGAAGGGTGTTCGTTCGGGTGGGGAGAAAGCGTGGTGGGGAAGTGCCGGTCAATATTTGTGCAGGCTTTCCATGTCAACCATTTCTTTGTCTTACACCTTTTGTTATTAATATTGTTGCTGTTACTGTTTGTTTTCTTATCTCATTGCTGTTTCCAGTAAATTGTTTTTATCTCAACACATGATTTTCACATTTTGTGCCTCCAATTCTCAACTCCATCCTACTGGAGTGGGAAGAGGGAGGGGAAAGGGGGAGCGAGTGAGCAGCAGTGTCATTTGCAGTCTCAGTGGGAGAACTAAATTGAGGAATACCATTCCTAAACCATGACAAGGCCTAAGATGGTGTTTCAAGCAGTGGCTTGGTTTACAGGGTATGTTTCCAGCCAACTAGTAGTTGCTTTCACCATGGTGAGTTTGTAGCTCTTGCCTTGGCGTGTTTGTGGCAAGCGGTCCAATATAGTCAATTTGCCAGGCCTCACCATGTTGGAAACTCAGCTGACACCTGTGGGAAAAAACTGAGTCAGTCTGAACCTGCATTTAGTTAATTGGAATCAAAAGGGAGGACCGACCTTGGCTAATTGTTTTGACACAGAGAATGCTGTGTTTCTCAAAGTGGAAAACCACTTAATGGTCTGCATGATAGCATGTGGTATTTCTCATGGCTGAACACAGCCACCACATGATGCGAGTGTGAATGTGTGGCATCAAAACACTGGTTTAGGACAATCCTGGGAATTCTGGTTAACTAAAAGACAACATCAAGTGCTGTTTACGAAAGAATATGAAAAAAAAGAGAAACACCAAAAAAGATCAGTGGAGAAATCCCAAAATCGAATTCTCTCTGTGTGCGTGCAGCCTCATTTCTTTCAGGGCCCATAGACCCCCCCTGTTCCAGGAAAATTTTACTTGTGTGGCTTGCTTGATCGCAGCACATGTTTCATATTTATGAGTGACCTGTGTGATGGCCATGACCAGGTCCACTGCTCCATCACGAGTCCATCTGTAGGTTGCATCTCTCCCCACATGTCCCTATGCTTCATGGGCTCATCAGGCTATAAATAGCTCACCTGTATGCTCCCAGTCCAGGTCCACCTGAGCTACTTCAGTTTTGGCAGCCTTGTCTACCTATTCATTGTTTCAATGTTCTTCAGTGGCACATGACAGGATCCATCAGTAAACAAAACATATTGCCTTTCATCCTCTGATAACTCATTATATGGTGGTGCCTCTTGGGCACAGGCCACCTCCTCAGGCAATATTCAAAAATCTCTGCCTTCTGGCCACTTCATGATCACTTCCACAATTCCTGGGTGAGTGGGGTTCCCCAGTCAAGCCCCACACAATCTATTTTCAGTAGGATTTTAAAACAATACAAACCAAAAAGAAAAAACTTTGTCTACATAATATACCAGTTACTGCATATACCAGTTACTGATAGACTTCCTGATACAAGAATTTGATAAGAGTATGAAAACCCTTACATGTATTTATATGAAGATTTGTAGTAATTTGACTCTTTAAAAACAATGTATTTAGTGAGAGTTCTCTTTTAGTCTTGTGGTGGGTTGACCTTGGCTGGATGCCAGGTGCCCACTCAGATGCTCTATCATTCCCCTTCCCAGCAGGACAGGGGAGAGACTAAGGTGGAAAAAACAACTTGTGGGTTGGGATAAGGCAGTTTATTTAAAGCAAAAAGTAAAGCAAAACTTGCACATGCAGAAGCGAAAGAACAGACTTTATTCTCTGCTTCCCAGGAGCAGCAATGGTCAGCCACTCCTGAGAAGCAGGGCTTCGGTATGTGAGACGATTTCTCAGCAGGCAGCCACTAGACAGTGAATGCCCCCCCTCCTGCTTCGTGCCTTAGCTTTTATATCTGAACTGATGTCATATGGTATGGAACATTCCTTTGGTCAGTTTGGGTCGGTTGGTCTACTAGGGTCCCCTTCCAGGATCTTCCCCTCAACTAAGGAATGTTACAGTGTTGGTGCTGTGCTCAGCAGTAACCAAAAAACCGGTGTGTTATCAACACCCTTCTAGCTGACAATGCAAAGCACAGCATTGTGAGGGCTACTGTGGGCAAATGAACTCCAGCTCAGCCAGACCCAATACAAGCCTAGACAGAATCTAATGTAGATTTTTCAGCCAAAGTTGTCACAGAGAAAACCCTACCTGTTTAAGCTATTAAATAGTCTTGAGAAAGAATTTGTGAAGCAATACTAAATCTTGAAAGTAATTTCCCCTTTCACTGTATGAATTTTCATTAAGTGTATTCTGATTTAGTAAACTATATCTGTAAAGTTATTCAGTTTCACAAATATTTACATCACCTGGAAAGCACTACAGACAGACAAAAATGTTATAATGTTCAAGCCTGAAAACAAGAAAAAAGAACAGTCACAATACTGACACACTGATAATTTAGAGTAATTATGACTTTAGCAATACATTTTTGAACTTGAAAGATTTTCTGATAAAACAAACAAAATTAATTTAGCCACTCACTTTGTAAATAACAGGCTTCCTTTTGGTTTCTTTTTATTCAGTGCTGTCAGTAGGGTCTTAACAACATTCGCAAAGTTTCTTTGGCAGCACTCTTAACAGCTGGATGGGACTAAAATACAAAAACATCACACTTGAAATCTAAATGTTTTCCTAAACTACAGAATAATGTTAGTAAAAGTTACACTGTATCTGAAGATATAAGTAACCTCTGATTAAAGCTGCAAAAATGTTAAAACATCTAATTTATTATTCCTCACTTTAAATTAAGAAGTGACAGTATTTTAATTATATAACTTACAAGTTCTCATGTACTAACAGTAGTTGCGCTATAAATACTGTAGGGGAACATTTTCTGAAGTGCAATTCAATAAACAGAGAGTTCAGAGTCAAACATGACTTGTCAGGATTTTTGGCCAGGAGATCAATTTACATCAGAAATAACTTCCGCCACAGAGTATCTTTTCCAAATTCAAAAAGTGTATTCTGGTATAATCCTATAAATGCAATAAAGCCAATCAACAATTCATCATTGATGATTGCAAGAAACAAAAATCCACCATTTAAAACTTTTGTATTGTTTTTATTTTAAATAATACCAAAAACCATGTTTAACCTTCTTCCTGGCCAAGAAATCCATTTTTTTAAAATTAACTGTCAATACTAAGTGATTTATTATTCTTTTCCTGAAAACATTAGTAGATTAATATTTCAAAAACCTGAGGAAATAAAGTAAAAGACATAGAAGTAGAGGAGGAGAAGGCAAAATTCCTATTTAAATAAATTTATTTTATGAATAATGTTCTTATTAATAAATCTTAGTTCTTTTGCACAAAACTGGCAGAACTCCTTGAAGTCTTAATTTTTTCTTCCCACTAAGAAAGTGGGCTTAAACCCAAGACACAAACTCCCTCTAACCCTTCACCTCCCTAACAATTACAATTACCTATGAAAAGGATAATTAATGCCTTTGGAACATTCTAGCTACTTCTGTCAATTCATCAGAAAACGAAACTCTCAAAGACTTATCAAGATAAAGTATGCTTAGGGAAGGGAGCTAAAAATAACAACAACAAAAAAATCAGTGAAATAAAAATTAATCATCTCTTAATAATCATAGAATCATAGAATTAACTGGGTTGGAAAGGACCTCTGAGATCATCAAGTCCAACCCTTGATCCAACCCCACTGTGATTACTAGATCATGGCACTCAGTGCCACATCCAACCTCGTCTTAAAAACCTCCAGGGACGGTGAGTCTACCACCTCTCTGGGCAGGCCATTCCAATGCCTGATTGCTCTCTCTGTAAAGAACTTCTTTCTAATATCCAGCCTAAACCTCCCCTGGCAGAGCTTAAGCCCGTGTCCTCTTGTCCTACTGCTGATTGCCTGGGAGAAGAGACCAACCCCACCTGGCTACAACCTCCTCTCAGGTAGTTGTAGAGAGTGATGAGGCCACCCCCGAGTCTTCTCTTCTCCAGACTAAACAAGCCCAGCTCCCTCAGCCTCTCCTCATAGGACTTGTGCTCAAGTCCCTTCACCAGCCTCTTTGCTCTTCTCTGGACCTGCTCCAGCCCCTCAATGTCTTTCCTGAACTGAGTGGCCCAGAACTGAACAAAATACTCAAGGTGCGGCCTCACTTCCCTTGTCCTGCTGACCACACTATTCCTGATGCGGGCCAGGATGCCATTGACCTTCTTGGTCACCTGGGCACACTGCTGGCTCATGTTCACCTTCCTGTCAATCAGCATCCCCAGATCCCTTTCTGCCTGGCTGCTCTCCAACCACTCTGTGCCCAGCCTGTAGCGCTGCAGGGGGTTGTTGTGGCCAAAGTGCAGGACCCGGCACTTGGCCTTGTTGAACTTCATCCCACTGGAATCAGCCCATCTCTCCAGTCTATCCAGATCCCTCTGCAGACCCCTCCTGCCTTCCGACAGGTCGACACTCCCTCCCAACTTGGTGTCATCTGCAAATTTGCTAATGATGGACTCAATCCCCTCATCTAAATCATTGATAAAGATGTTAAACAGAACTGGGCCCAGCACTGACCCCTGGGGAACACAACTGGTGACTGGTCGTCAACTGGATGCAGCACCGTTCACCAGCACTCTCTGGGTCCGACCATCCAACCAGCTCTTAACCCAGCAGAGAGTGCACCTGCCCAAGCCATGGGCTGCAGCTTTTCCAGGAGTATATTATGGGAGACGGTGTCTAAGGCTTTGCTGAAGTCCAGATAGACTACATCCACAGCCTTATCCACCAGATTGGTCACCTGATCATCAAAGGAGATCAGGTTGGTCAGACAGGACCTGCCCCTCCTAAACCCGTGCTGGCTGGGTCTGATCCCTCTTTCATCCTATAGGTGCCATGTGATTGCACTCAGGATGATTTGCTTCATAACCTTGCCGGGCACTGAGGTCAGGTTGACAGGCCTGGAGTTTCCCAGATCCTTGCAGCTTTTTTTGTGGATCAGCATGACATTTGTCAACTTCAAATCATCTGGAACCTCCCCAGAGAGCCAGGACTGCTGGTTAATGATGGAGAGTGGCTTGGCAAGCTCTTCTACCAACTCCCTCATCACCCTAGGATAGATCTTATCTGGTCCCATGGACTTGTGTGGATCCACGTGGCTCAGTACGTCACTGACTATTTCCTCCTGGAACACAGGGGGGCTATTCGTCTTCCTGTCCCTGTCTACCAACTCCAGAGGGCAGTTGTCCTGAAGGTCACCTGTCCTACTGGTGAATATGGAGGCAAAGTAGTTGTTAAGTACCTCAACCTTCTCCTGATCCCTGTTAACTAACTTTCCCCCCAGGTCCAAGAAGGAATGAAGGTTTTCCTTGCCCCTCCTTTTGTTATTAATGTATTTATAGAAACGCTTTTTGTTATACTTAACAGAAGTAGCCAAATTGACTTCAAATTGCGCTTTTGTCTCTAATTTTCTTTCTGCATGACCTAGTTATATTCCTAAACTCCTCCTGAGTAGCCAACTCTATTTTCCACAGTCGCTAAGCTCTCTTTGGAGAGTTCCCAGGTCATCCTGGACAAAGAACTCTGTCTTGTACAACTAGCACAGCTTTTTTTATACGGTTCTGAGCATAACATTACATCATAAAACATGCATATTCATTAAATTGCAACATCTACTTGTAATAATCATATATAGGCAGAGTCTTCAATTTGGGGAGGTTTAGTGGTGGGAGTTCCTGTGGCCTTCATCATGGGCAGTGGTCTTTCGCAGGTCTTCATCATTGTAAACTTTTAAACTGTCCTGAAATCTTTCCTTAATTTGGATAGTTGGCAACTGTAGTAGGGTCAGGTTGACTTTTGGCCCATTCTAAGATTCGCTGATGTTGTTATCTTTTTGTTTTATGCTTTAAATGTTCTATCTTGACAACATGTCCTATTCCTCAGACAATTTATTACTTCTGTGGTTTCCTAATGCTAGGGTTTTGGAACTACTTCCACAATTTTGTGTTTGAGTTAACCTTTTGTTTTTCAAAGACTGCCTCAAAGACTGCCTCAATTGAGTGGCTTCATTTCCCCCCTTATAACTTACGAATTCTTTCGTCAAGTTTTAATTCCAAGGGGTGTTGGTACAACTGTACCATTGCCCAAATCATTTGAGTCTTTGTTCCTAAGGATTTCAGTTTTCGCCATAGGTATATGTTTGTGAGGGTTAGTAAAAGCATAGCTATGGTTATAATTAGTATTGGGTGCACCAGGTAATGGAATATCTGTGTTGCTGTTGGGGAATACCTTGTAAAGATATCCCACTAGTGATGCTGGCCTACTTGTTTTACTTTGGTTACTCTTCTTTCTTTATTTGTTCTGCAAGGGAATGCTTCAAGCCACCCAGAAAATGTATTAGTTAATACTAGTAGGTATCGAAACCCCCCTTTTCTTGGGAGTTCAGAGAAATCAATTTGCCATACTTCACCTGGGAATTTACCTCGATTTATGGCTCCATGATGTACCTTGGTTCCAGTATTCGGGTTATTCTTCAGGCATCGTTCGCATTGCGATGTAACGTATTTTACTGTGGTAAAGAGTTTTGGTCCTGCTATTCAGGTTTGTAAATATTGATAAAGTGGGTCTAAGCCCCAGTGGGCTTTTTCATGTTTTGTCTTAACAAATTGCCACATCAATTTTCCTGGTATTATTAGTTGACCCGTTTCTAATTGACTCCATCCATTATCTAATAATTTGCCCTTGTTCTTTTTTAATCCATTTTTGATCTGATTCCTGATAATTTGGTTGAAAATTTGTATCTAATTCTCCTGGTATTAGCGCTGTTATATTTATTTCTTTGGTTCTTGCAGCAGCTAATTTAGCTTTTGCATCTGCTTTTCTATTCCCTACCTCTGGAACTGTGTTGCCTTTCAGGTGTCCCCTACAATGCATTATGACCACTTGTTCTGGGAGTTGGACCGCTTCTAACAATCTTAGGATTTCTTCTGCATGTTTGACTGTTTTCCCTTGGGCAGTTAGTAGTCCCCTTTCTTTCCAGATTGCTCCATGAGCATGTACTACAGAGAAGGCATATTTAGAATCAGTCCAGATGTTAATTCGCATGCTTTCTGCTAATTCCAGGGCTCGGGTAAGAGCTATTAATTCTGCCTTCTGGGCTGAAGTCCCTGCAGGTAAGGGATTTGATTCGATTACCTCTTCCGTTGTGGTTAAAGCATAGCTTGTCATTCTTACTCCTTGCCTCACGAAGCTGCTGCCCTCTGAGAACCAGTTGTCCGCATCTTCAAATGGCTCCTTTTTGAGATCAGGGCAGCTGGAATAAACTGCTTTGATCGTTTCCAGGCAATCGTGTTCGATGGGTTCCGTCGGGATTCTTCCTTCTAGAAATGAGGCTGGGTTCACAATATTAGTCACTTGAATGGTTATATTGTCTGTTTCAGCTAGGATGGCTTGATATTTTAGGAATCTTGAAGGTGATAACCAATGGTTACCCTTTTGTTCTATCACTGCTGAGACAGTGTGAGACACCAACACAGTCATTTTCTGGCCTAATGTAAGCTTTCTGGCCTCTTCTATGTTTATGATTACTGCGGCTACTGCTTTTAGACAACCAGTCCAGCCTTTACTTACTTCATCCAACTGTTTGGAGAAATAAGCTACAGCTCTCTTGTGTGTTCCCAACTGCTGCTCTAACACTCCTAGAGCCATCCCTTGCCACTCGTGAGAGAATAGCCAAAACGGCTTGGTTATATCTGGAAGGCCCAAAGTTGGGGCTCTCATGAGTTCTTGTTTCAGTCTCCTAAAAGCTCCCTCTGCCTCGGGAGTCCAGACTAGCGTACTCGTAGTTTCTTTCAGTAAATCGTACAGTGGTTTGGCAAGTACCCCATATTGATAAATCCATAACCAACACCAACCTGTCATTCCTAGAAAGGCACGTAGATCTCTCACCCTCTCTGGTCTGGGCATTTGGCAGATGGCTTCTTTTCTTGCTGTTCCTAGGGATTGTTGTCCTCTGGAGATTTCATATCTCAGGTATATCACCTTTTCCTGTATCAATTGTGCCTTCTGTAGAGAGACTCTATATGCACTTAAACTCAAGAAGTTTAGCAGGGAAATAGTCCATTTAATGCACTCTTCTTCCGTCTCAGTTGCTATCAATAAATCATCCACATATTGTAGAAGGGTACCATTTCCCTGTGGCCTTTCCCATTGTTCTAATTCTTTGGCCAATTGGTTTCCGAAAATTGTGGGACTATTTTTGTACCCTTGAGGCAACACAGTCCAAGCTAATTGAGTCTTTCTCCCTGTTTTAGTAGATTCCCATTCAAAAGCAAAAATTTTCTGGCTTGCTAGAGCTAAGGTTAGGTAAAAGAATGCGTCTTTTAAGTCTAATACTGTGAAGCATTTTAAAGCTTCCCTCAGTTTGGTTAGAAGAGTATATGGATTTGCTACTACTGGATGTAAGGTCTTTGTAATTTCATTTACTGCTCTTAAGTCCTGGACTAATCTGTATGTCCCATTTGGTTTCTTAACAGGTAGGATTGGTGTATTGAAATCTGATTCACACTTTACTAATAGTCCTAGTTCTAAAAATTTCTCGATTGTCGGGGTAGGCGGTGGGTCCGCCGTGCCCCTTTTGAAGGATGCAGAAGAAGAAGAAGAATTTGATTTAGACACCCTGAGGCCTTTCCCCTGAAGAAAAGCAGGGGCCGTATAGATCTTAGAGGTGCCAGTCCTGACCATGAGAAAGGAATGTAAATAATAAAAATAATCAATTAAATGTGAGTAGTGCTAACAACAAAAAGATAAAGAGACTAAAGATAGAAAGGTATGCGAGGCTCAGAGTTCAGTGTGTGTGTGTGTGTGTGTGGGTGAATTTGTGAGAGTGCAGCTGTACGAAGAAAAGTATAATATTCTCAATGAAGAATAAAACCTGAATTTAAATCATCATCATCTAGTGCCCAGTTTTATTGTCTTGGTCGTCCTCAACTACAACACTCTATTATTGGTTCAATTCCCTTTCTGTCTTCTAACCTCAGTGGGTATTGTTTCTTTACTACCGGTTTTGTTCCTGGTAGCAATTAAATAGTAATAGGAGCTGCCCGTTTTGACTTCCCAGGTACATCAGTGGCCCACACCAATGGATACACTTCGCTCATAATGCGTTCAATGTTATGACTTTCAGGTTTTGGTTCTATGCAGCTGATTGTTAAACTTAAAGCTGCTATTAATTGTTCATCATTTACTTGAAATTCAAGTTTATCCTTATTGAATTTTATTACAGCCTCTAGGTTTTCCAATAAATCTCTACCTAGTAAAGGTTTTGGAGAGTTTGGTAGATACAAAAATTGATGGATTCCCATTTGTTTTCCAATTTTGTATTTATTGGGTTTTAGGAAGTAGGTTTTTTCTGGTTGACCTGTTGTTCCCACAACCTGTACAAATTCATTACTTCTGGGTACTAGCTCTTGGTTTAAAATCAAAAAGGTTGCTCCCATATCAATTAGAAAGTCTAGTTCTTTTTCACCTTCCCCTAGCTCCATTTTAACCAGTGGGTCTGCTAGGGAACGACTCACCAGTCTCCCTCATTCACTGTTCTGATGTGCAATGGTAGTACTTGTAGGTCCTTCCCTTAGTTGAGGACATTCTCGTTTCCAGTGTCCTATCTGCAAGCAATTGGAACATTGATTTGATCCTATCCTGGGTGGATGGGGCTGAAATCCCCCTCTCCCTCTCCCTCTTACTGGGTAGCTCCTACCTCTGCCTCTGGCATTTGGTTCTGGGAACTTTGCATTCTGGTTTGCTACAGCTACTGCTACTACCCGAGCAAGTCTCTTATATTTTTTTTTTTCTCTTCCTTATTTCTGTTATTATAAACTTTCCAGGCTTTTGTTTGCTGGATGTTCTAGTTTTTGTAGTTTTTTTTCTGATGTCTGAGGTGCATTGTCCCATCATTAGTCCTAATAACTGTTGTTTTCCTTCCTCTGATGCTGGGTCTAGGGGTGTGTACTGTCTCATAGCTGCCCTATCCAAAAATTCTGAAGGGGTTTCATCTTTTCCCTGTCTGACGTCATATAGCATTGCCTAATTAATGGCCTTAGGTATTGCATTCTGCAGACCCATTGCTATTAGCTTCCTATATTGCACTATCCGCCCATATTGAACTGGATTATTCGGATCCCACTCTGGGTTTTGATTGGGAAATATTATATCTACTCTTTCAGGTAATAATGCAGCATGCTCCCTTCCTGTTCTCAATACGAGTTCCTTCTCTGTTTCTGTTAATTCTGATAACATTACCTTTATGTCTTCCCAATCAATATCCTGGTTCTTTGCCAATAATTCAAACCTCCTAACTACTCCCTCTGGATTCGTTCTGAAGTTTCTTGCTTCTTCTCTCCAGCTATTTAAATCACTTGTTGTAAATGGTACTTTTATTCGTGCTTGTTCCCCTGCAATAGGCATTATTCTTCTAAGGGGAGCTATCGTATAACTCCTTTCCTCCTTTTCTTTTACTTCTTTCCGTGCTGCAGATCTAGTGTAATATGAATAACTGGTTCCCTCCCCGGGATCTTCTTCCTGGGTTTCGGTATCTGTTCTATTCTTTCTCTTTTCTGTTCTCTTTCCCCGTTTTCGTTCCTCACTCTCACTTTCCAAACCATCTGCCAAGTCATCCTCTACTAACCCCCTGGTATGGTTTACGCAGTCCAGCCGCCTCTCCTTCTGTATTTGGATGAGATGCTGACGACGCTCAACCTGCCCTGAGACACTACTTTCTTCGTCTTCTTCTCCCTGCATATTTCTCTTATCCTCTATCTGAATGACTATATTTAACTTCTGTGAGTTGTTTGCTTTTTCTCCTGGGTTTATTACATTATTACTTTCTCACTGTATTTTAATTCAGGGAAACCACTCTCTTTTCTGGTGCTCCCTGATCTTGGCAGGCTACTTTCATTTTCATAATTCCCAGTTTTTGGCGTACTGTTTTCTATTTCGCAGATGCCTGACTGTCGTGAGCTGCTTATATCTCTCGGTGTACTACAATCTCTACTCTGGCTACCTTCTAGTTTGGGCGGGCTTTTCTTTTCCCCACAACCCTCTAGCTTTCGTCGTGATGGGCTGCTTTCTTCCCTATCGATCTCCGACCTGAGTGGACTGCTTTCTTCTCTGTAACTTCCTGAGTCTTGAGGACTATTTAGTTTCTGTGAGCCACTCTCCCTTCTGCAACTTTCTGATTTTGATGGGCCACTTTTCATCCTTATCTAATTTATACAAAGGCCACCATTGTGTACAATATTTTAAGAGTGTTTTCTTACTTATGTTTCCCCCTGGAATCCCCCCTAAGTCTTTCCAATGCTTCAGGACATACCCTAAGGGGGTTTTCATGTTTATATCTTTACTTTGTTGGCCTCCTATTATTATTCTCTGGATTTATCCCTCTATTTCTAACCAGATTTTTCTTTGTGTTAATATTTCATGCACACAATTCTCAATCTCTTCGTCCGTCTCTGGCCTGACTTCTCGCGAAGGACAGGAACCGCAGATTAGGACTCCCTCTCGCTTTGTAGCAATGCTACGTCTCAGTCACTCTCAATCACACTTGCATATCTCAGATAAGACGTTACAAAATTTTGTGCATTATCATTCCCCATATAAAATTGTAAAACATATTATGAAATGCACCTTTGTAAAACCCTTTACAAACAGTACACAGAACTTTTTCTCTATACCTTTGAATTTCAAACAACATGTTAGTAAGAAATTCCTCGCATTCCAAAAACCCTTTCTCAAGAGTAATTGTTGGAAACGTTTCCGGACTTTGGTTGGAAACGTTCCCAAACCTTGTAAACAATCCTAGATTAGTTAGAAAATGTCTTTTAGCCAGAAAACTCTTCGCTTTTCTTTTAACTCTTAAAGCACGGCTTTAAACATGTTAAAACAAAACCAGTCACATAAGATAACAGTCTCAGTAGAATTTTAACCTGCCTTTTTTCTATACCTGGGCCTCTAACCCAGCTTTGGCGGGACTCTAACCCGCTCTCCTATATACCTGGGCCTCTAACCCAGTAGGGATTAATGCCAGGGCGTCCCCTTGGCTTTCCCTGGGCGGTGACGTCTCACCCCCATTTCTTAATAGAGCACTCTCAATTTTAAAAACATATTAAATAAAATACCTCTTAATTTGAAGCAGGAGATCTTGTCCACTGTTGCGTGTATGTCCGAGGGGTCTGGGAGTCTCTTTACTGACAAAAGATCCGTCGGGAGGGCCCAGAGAGTCCCTGGCCCCCCGGACCACAGCCCCGGGAGACAGAGAGGATGTCCTGCCGCGGTCGCCAATTGAAACTGAATTTTTACCCCAAAAAAGCACAGAGAGACTGCTTTAGAGATAAAATTTGTTTCTTTAAAGCAGGAGGCATTTTAATGCAACACGTTGGAGAGTTCCCAGGTCATCCTGGACAAAGAACTCTGTCTTGTACAACTAGCACAGCTTTTTTTTATACAGTTCTGAGCATAACATTGCATCATAAAACATGCATATTCATTAAATTGCAACATCTACTTGTAATAATCATATATAGGCAGAGTCTTCAATTTGGGGAGGTTTAGTGGTGAGAGTTCCTGTAGCCTTCATCATGGGCAGTGGTCTTTCGCAGGTCTTCATCATTGTAAACTTTTGAACTGTCCTGAAATCTTTCCTTAATTTGGAT